TCTTCACATGGCCAACAGCCACTGCCAGACACAGCACCTTCTTCACCTGGAATTTGATGGTGGACTTCACTTCATCCACTTTGGCCACCATGTTTTCATTGTGGGTCAGCAAGGAAGGGAACTTGCCAGCCTTATTCAGGCCTGGGCCCAGGATTCGTGGAATCTGCTTGATCAGAGATTCTGAGGCCAAAAAGGCGTCATACTTCTTGGCCAACTTCTTAACTAATTTCTTATTCTTGTTGAGTTTCTTCAGCGCCTCAATATCCATGTGAGGAATATCCCCTGCCTTGGCCTCATCACAGTGCTGCTGATCCCCCAAAACACATACGGAGAACTTGGGGCGGGGAGTGGACTTAAGCCTGACGGTGCCCGAGAAGCGTTTGTCCTTCTGAGGGTCATAGTTCTTCAGACTGATCTGCAGTTCCACCGTCTCCAAAAACTTCCGGCGCTTGCGCTGGTTCCCGTGCAGGACTTCCCGCACCGCCTCGTACAGGGTGTCGCGGGAGACTTTGCTGCTCATGGTTCTTCGCGCGGCAGTAACCGGAAAAGCAGAAATATTTCTGATGTTATTTTTTGCCTATGCCTGCCATCACACCCATACATTTATCTACCATTCACTCCGCCTCTAGATGTATTCTTTTTTCTGCCTTCCTAAGCCCCAAGTCCCATTGTCTTCTTGTTTTCTATAATTATCTCTCTTGTGATAAGATCTCCATAAAAATGCCTCTCACCAGTTGACAAGCCAAAATCTAAGCATATAGAGCAGAAAAACAGAAGGACAATATCATGGTTTAATAAGCAAAGCTTTGATTATTTAATCAAGTTCAAGGCCCATATAACAAAAACACATGCATATTTATCTTTTATTCACATACCACCTCAAAAAAAAAAAACTCCATAAAAGTCTATAGGATGCCTATTTGAATAATAGAGTAGGAGTATGGGTTTATGTGTATATATAGACACCAAGTTTATATTTTTGGGGGTATATTTAATTCTGGGAATTTGAAGAGAACTGATGCAAAATGTGTTGACCGACTCCAATTATGCTGCCTGAGAAGCCAGAATTCTCAGGTTCAGCTGTGTAAAATTTGGAGCCCATTCAGTTGGCCTCCACAGTAGAATAATAGAAAAAAATCGGTCTGGGCATTTGTGGCTGACTTTTGCCACCTGACATTTCATGCAATCAAGTGTTGAAGCTGCTGTCCCAAATGCATTCCCTACATTGATTTATTTTTCTTGTATTGTAGAGTTATGATCTTTCTCTTGTTTCTTTTTTTTCAGCTGGACTGTGTGATATCTTCTTTTCAAACACCCAATCTCTGCACTTGTGAGAATTTCAACTAATCAAGAAAACAAATCTGTAACACCCTGAGAAATTACCCCAGGTTGAAGCAAAGAGGTCACCCATGACAAACCTCCTCTGATAAGGTATCCCCACCTGCCTCAGGTTATGGCACATAGATTGTGTGTGTGTGTGTGTGTGTGTGTGTGTGTGTGTGTGTGTGTGTGTGTGTTCTGTCCAGATAGCTGTCTCCTTATGCTATTTTGTACTAGTTATACAGAAGGAAGTAATTTCAGATGTAATAATTAGAAGTATATTCAGCAGTCCCAATTTTAATCTAATGAAAGAGAAGTATTTCAGAAACTCTAGACCTTTAGATAGCCAGAATATTAAAAATACACAATGACCCTAAATTTTATTTATTTATTTATTTATTTATTTATTTATTTATTTATTTATTTATTTATTTATGAGAGCGAGCATGAACTGGGGGGAGGTGGGTAGTGGGAGGGAGAAGGGACAGAGGGAGAGAGAGAATCTTAAGCAGGCTCCACACCCAGCATGGAGCCCAACACAGGGCTCAATCTCATGATCCTGAGATCATGACCTGAGCGGAAATCAAGAGTCAGACACTTAACTGACTGAGCCACCCAGGTGTCCTGGCCCTAAATTCTAATAATTTGCTTAATTAAGTCCTCATCAATTTTCTCTTAACATTAACAGACCCACTTCTGCAGGTCAGAGCTCACCAGTTTGGTCATCTTTTTCCTTAAGCTCCCAAGTCAAGTCCTTTCCATACCGTGCTGAGGATTCTTGCATTAATCTGAATTTGTCTTTCTCAAACAGATTTCTATCCTGTCAACTCTAATCTCACATGAGAGAAATTTGGGGGTAGCGTGAGGGAATTGTTCCATATCTTGACTGTGGTGGTGTTGGTTGCCCAATTCTATGCATTTGTCAAAATGCATAGATCTGTGCATTCAAATGAATGGATTTTACTTATATATTAAATTATATGTCAAGAAATGTAGCTTAAATAAAAGGAATGACTCTGCAAGTACCGTTGGATTCTATTTACATGAAATCTAAACCAGAAAAAACTAATCTATAGCAAGGTTCTCAACCTTGGTCCTATTGACATTTTGAGTTGGATCATTCTTTGTTGTGAACAGGACCAGCTTCATGGGCATGCAACCTATACAGTTGCAGAGGGTGCAGCTCTTTGAAATGGCCCCATGCTTGGCTTAATGCTCTGCTGTTGCCCTTTGATTTTTGAACTTGTGTTTCATGGGTGAAATCTGATGGGACAATGGAATGTGTATACAGGCAGAGGAGATATATCAGGTATCTTGGTGTGTAGGCATGAATTCAGGTCCAAAAGCATAGCAAGCAGTAAGCAATGAGAGCATGGATCAGTTGGCCTGGCTGCCTAGCACCTGGACGCATGCCCACAGTAGTCTTGGCTGTCGTGGGACCTCAAAGAGGAGGCTAGGGCAAAGAGACCTGGGCAGGCCCAAAATGTTAGCAGTAATGGCAAAAATAGCAGAAGCAGTAGCAGTGGGTGACTCCAGGAGAGAGGAGGGGTTTTGCATGGAGTAGCACCAGGACTGCAATGGGAAATCAGCTTGCCTGTCCATCTCCAGAGCCCATTCTTATATCATCTGCACACATGTTAATTCTCCAGCTTACACACTGGGACAGGAACAGAGGCATGTGTGCAGTAAAATTTGTCAGTAAATTATTACAAAATAAAACCTCATAAAATGGGCATTGCAATATGGCATATCAGGGAGTTGTTTGGCTTCAAAGAATTTAGAGTCTCTAGTTTTAAAAACTGCTGCAGTATTAGGAACAAATATCCATAGGCTTTTAGAAATAGATATTAATTTATTTTTTTAAAAATTCTTTTAAATTTTATTTTATTATGTTATGTTAGTCAACATACATGACATCATTAGTTTTTTTAAATTTTTTATTGTTATGTTAATCACCATACATTACATCATTAGTTTTTGATGTAGTGTTCCATGATTCATTGTTTGCATATAACACCCAGTGCTCCATTCAATACGTACCCTCCTTAATACCCATTACCGGGCTAACCCATCCCTCCACACCCCTCCCCTCTAAAACCCTCAGTTTGTTTCTCAGAGTCCATAGTCTCTCATGGGTCGTCTCCCCCTCCGATTTCCCCCCTTCATTTTTCCCTTCCTTCTCCTAATGTTCTCCATGCTATTTCTTATGTTCCACAAATAAGTGAAACCATATGATAATCAACTTTCTCTGCTTGACTTATTTCACTTAGCATAATCTCCTCCAGTCCCATCCATGTTGATGTAAAACTTGGGTATTCATCCTTTCTGATGGCTGAGTAATATTCCATTGTATATATGGACCACATCTTCTTTATCCATTTGTCTGTTGAAGGGCATCTTGGCTCTTTCTACAATTTGGCTATTGTGGACATTGCTGCTATGAACTTTGGGGTGCATATGGCCCTTCTTTTCACTACATCTGTTTCTTTGGGGTAAATACCCAGGAGTGCTATTGCTGGGTCATAGGGTAGCTCTATTTTTAAAATTTTTGAGGCACCTCCACACTGTTTTCCAAAGTGGCTGTACCAACTTGCATTCCCACCAACAGTGTAAGAGGGTTCCCCTTTCTCCACAACCTCTCCAACATTTGTTGTTTCTTTCCCTGTCCATTTTTGCCATTCTAACTGGTGTAAGGTGCTATCTCAATGTGGTTTTGATTTGAATTTCCCTGATGGCTAATGATGATGAACATTTTTTCATGTGTCTGTTCGCCATTTGTATGTCTTCTTCGGAGAAGTGTCTTCTCATGTCTTCTGCCCATTTTTTGACTTGATTATTTGTTGTTTGGGTGTTGAGTTTGAGAAATTCTTTATAGTTCTTGGATATCAGCCCTTTGTCTGTAGTGTCATTTGCAAATATCTTCTCCCATTCTGTGGGTTGCCTCTTTGTTTTGTTGACTGTTTCCTTTGCTGTGCAGAAGCTTTTTATCTTGATGAAGTCCCAAAAGTTCATTTTTGCTTTTGTTTCACTTGCCTTTGGAGATGTATCTTGAAAGAAGTTGCTGTGGCCAATGTCGAAGAGGTTACTGCCTATGTTCTCCTCTAGGATTTTGATGGATTCCTGTCTCACATTGAGGTCTTTCATCCATTTTGAGTTTATCTTTGTGTATGGTGTTAGAGAATGGTCAAGTTTCATTCTGTATATAGCTGTCCAATTTTCCCAGCACCATTTATTGAAAAGACTGTCTTTTTTCCATTGCATATTTTTTCCTGCATTGTCGAAGATTATTTGACCATAGAGTTGAGGGTCCATATCTGGGCTCTCTATTCTATTCCATTGGTCTATGTCTGTTTTTGTGCCAGTACCATGGTGTCTTGGTGATCACTGCTTTGTAATATAGCTTGAAATCAGGCAACGTGATGCCCCCAGTTTTGGTTTTCTTTTTCAACATTTCCTTGGTGACTCAGGGTCTTTTCTGATTCCATACAAATTTTAGGATTGTTTGTTCCAGCACTTTGAAAAATGTCATTGAAATTTTGATCGGGATGGCGTTGAAGGTATAGATTGCTCTGGGCAGCACAGACATTTTAACAATGTTTATTCTTCTGATCCATGAGCATGGAATGTTTTTCCATCTTTTTGTGTCTTCTTCAATTTCTTTCATGAGTGTTCTGTAGTTCCTAGAATATAGATCCTTTACCTCTTTGGTTAGGTTTATTCCGAGGTAACTTATGGTTTTTGGTGTTATTGTAAATGGAACCATTTCTCTAATTTTTCTTTCTATGGGTTGCATTGTTAATGTATAAGAAAGCAGCTGATTTCTGTGTATTGATTTTGTATCCTGCCACATTACTGAATTGCTATATGAGTTCTAGTAATTTGAGGGTGGAGTCTTTTGGGTTTTCCACATAAAGTATCATGTCCTCTGCGAAGAGAGAGAGTTTGACTTCTTTGCCAATTTGAATACGTTTTATTTCTTTCTGTTTGATTGCTGTTGCTAGGACTTCTAGTACTATATTGTACAATAGTGGTGAGAGTGGACATCCTTGTGTTCCTGATCTTAAGGGAAAGGCTCTCAGCTTTTCATACCATTGAGAATGATATTCACTGTGGGTTTTTCATAGACGGATTTTATGAAATTGCAGAATGTTCCCTCTATCCCTATACTCTGAAGAGTTTTAATCAGGAAAGTATGCTGTATTTTGTCAAATGCTTTTTCTGCATCTATT